AGTCCGTCTCGAGAGATCGTAGTGTCCCTTGTTGGAGAATACCTTTGTTTATATTAAGGAGTTTATCTGTTACTAATCCCAAGTTCAGTTTAACCATTTCACTTTCTCTCATAACTGTTCGTTCAATCAGCCATTTCTCGAATCTATGAAATCGTAGTTTCTCCTTATGCAATCCCTAACTCCTCTTGATACTTTTCTCTTCATCATAAACACTGTCATGTAGCAATATTAAAATCTAAAGAAGTTGATAAATACACATACATCGCGAATGGAAACAAGTAAAACGATGTTTTGAACGTTTACCGAAATTATTGCAGACTTGGAAGAGATTTTTTACAAACACAAGAAACATAGTTGTCTCAGCTTCTGACTGAAAGGCAGAAGACAGCATACCTCTGTGTCTTTTCAATAAAAAGCATCGAAGAGCCATCTAACAATACTTCCATTTCAAGATTCCCTTCACTAGGATAACTGATTCCTGACTCTTGATGAGCTGGAGACTCCCCAGTGGGGAGAATAGAAGAACAGTTGAATTTTTACTCGATATGGTCTACGGCTAATTGTTCACGTATTGTACGCAATGTCGCGTGTACTAATAAGATTTGAAAATGTAAATTATTCGCTTTTTATGGAAAAGCGAGTGGTGCTTCGATCTCGCTTGATTTTATTTCCATGTCTTACTGTTTTGTTTCTTCATCTCATATTCTTTATTAATTCAATAACAGTTGAATGAAAGGTAGTTTCATCATCCGTGTTATAGAATGTCCGAGGAGCCTCAGCTTCAGGAGTTCACATTGAACGATGATAACGAACTGCGGTTTGAAGTAGTCACTGAACAAAACAACATAATTACTCAACTCATTTGTAGGTAAGCTCCTCGAACGATGTTATACTTGAACTATCAGAGGGTAGAGCTGAAATTTTCGGAACAGAATTGGAGTCTATGAAAAAATACATTTTTCCAGCCTGTAAGTACAGTCACTTATAAAATAATAGTTTTGTCATTTAAGCGTCGCGAGTAGCCGTTTTTTCCTGGAAAGGTGCTCGACTAGAACTCACAGGACAGACAGTCAGTGCTTATGTCGCAGAAAGGACGCCAATGGTTTGTTTCTTTTTCGAAAAAATGATTTTTTACTCTGTTTTCAGGTAATTTATTTGAACACTCATGCAGCATTGGAACAGATAAGACAACACAACGAGGAAGTTTACAAATCTAAGAGCGATAAATCTGAATTCCCCAAAGGTCCTCGGATAATGATAGGTAATATTTTCATTTAAGTTACGTTTATATCAATCATTTTCAGTTGGGCCTACTGATGTAGGGAAGACAACAGTGTGTCGACTTCTTTGCAATTATGCTGTTCGTCAAGGCAGATCACCCATTTTAGTAGACCTGGATGTTGGACAAGTGAGTTTCCCCTAAATTTTTATTCTGAAGTTCGGTTTCTAGGGTGCCATCTCTGTTCCCGGTACCATAGGTGCACTATTCCTACAACAGACCGCAGACGTTGTAGAAGGATTTGACCAGTCCAAACCTCTCGTTTATAATGTAAGAACTTATCAGAATAAAATATTTACACATCTGCAAGTGTTTCAATATATTGATATATACTCAGACTCATTACGTTCTCCTTCAACTATTATGTTTTTCTTATTTTCAGTATGGCTATACCTCTCCATCGGGCAATCTACAACTCTATGATTCATTAGTGAAAGAGTTAGCGGAAGTGGGTTCTTATGTTTTATGAATCTTGAAAAAGTGTTGTTTAGGATATTACTGAGAGATGTAAACAAAGTATGGAAGCAAGTATAGGTGGTTTGGTTATTAATACATGTGGATGGGTCAATGGAGAAGGGTGTGTAATCTTTTTTGAAGAGTGTCTATTTTGATTTAGTTATCAATGCATAACGAATGCAGCAGGGGCTTTCGAAGTTGATGTTGTTGTTGTGATTGATCACGAAAGACTCTATAATGAATTACAGAAAGATTTGCCGCAGTTTGTTAAAGTAAGTTTCGCTTTCTAATCTTGTCACTCTGAATTGCAGATTATCCACCAACCGAAATCTGGAGGAGTGGAAACGCGCTCGAGCGTCGCACGTAAATCTCAAAGGAATAACTCAATACATCGGGTTTGAATTGTGCTGTTTTCTTTATCACATTGATCATATTCAGTACTTCTATGGAACGCGATCTAACAAATTCTATCCGCATACTTTCGAAATGTCTTTCTCAGAAATAATATTATGCAAAATAGGTACCGACAAGCTGCCTGATTCTTGTCTACCTTTCGGAGTGAAGCAAGATGATCATCAAACAAAGGTAAAGAAAGTTGGAAAGAGAATTCTTAACAGAATGTTCGCTTAGGTTGTGTTAGTACCACCATCTGCCGATCACATTCATAGGATGTTCGCAGTTTCCCCGTGTCCCACCGTTTCTCAGGCGGTGGTTAAGGCTTCTGTTCTCGGTTTTGTGGTTATCACGGATGTGAGTTTCAAATGAGTATTGCCATACTAATGATTTGATGTTAAGATCAACTTAGAGGATAAGACAATGACTGTCTTGAGCCCACAAGCGGCTTTGCCATGTAAGGTTCTCGTATGGACAGACGTGAAGTTTATTGACGATCAAATAAAACGATGATTCGTCTGCCGATCTATTTGTGTCGCAAGGTGGATCTTGTTCGTGATTGTATTTCATTAATGTGATTAAATCTCATAATAAATGTATATAAAAGAACTTGTATGGAAAATCCGGTAAAAATGCCTGAAAGTTTACTTACAATGGTTTTGATTTTCTGGTGAGTGAAATGCGTTTGTAGTATAATGCAGGAAATAGAAATTGAACATCTTCGACCACTGAAACTCTTTCACTTTGCCATCTTCCCTGTTCCTTTCAATGATAAAATTTTGAAGAGCGTAAGTAATGGAAATCTACGGTAGAGTATAAGGTCTTTTCAGCTCGTCAAAAGTCCATTCAGTAGAGTTCTGGTAGCAAAGAATGGAATAATTGGATGTTTATGCAGTGCCATTAAGAAGATAGATGGAAACGATACTTTGTATATTTATTCTTTAGGAGGTATCAACTGATATCAGGAAAAGTGCGAAAACTCTTATCATTTCAGTTCATCCTTGTAATCGTGAGAAAGGAGTCGGAAGCTCTTTCATGAATTATCTAGAAGAGGAAGCGAGAAAACATGGTTTGAGCGAAATTGTTTTGCATGTTCAAGTATCATCAACTTCTCATAAGTCATGTTCATTAATGAGTTTACAGATTGGTAATGAAACAGCTGTGAAGTTCTATGAGAAGAGAGGATTTGTAACAAGGAAAGAAATTAATAATTATTATATGGGTCTGGACGAAGGAAATGCTCTAGAGATGGTGAAGCACATCAACTAGTAATCAGGGAAATGCATAATCAATAGAAGATCTCAATAAAGTGGTTATCAGGTTTTCACACAGTTATTGCAACAATAAAAACGTTTGTTCACAAGCCCACCTCTTACTAACTCAACTTTTTAGGAAAGTTCTCTCGTTGAAAGTGTTCACCTCAACAGCTAATGACTAACATTTTGCTGATTTCTATTTTCCTATCTTAACTGATTCATCGCGGCGGGCTATGATAAAGCCATCACAGATAAGGGTACGAAACATCTTTGATACAAAAAGGTCAGGTTTTTTCCTGTTTGTTCGCTGTTTTCGTGGCTACTTCAATATATTCTTGTATTGTTTCTATAATTCTGTCGTTTATAATGTTTTTAAGGAGACGAGATGGTGAAGAGGCAAGGATAGTATTGGCGATTTCCTAACTGGATCTTCGCATAGCCATGCAATTAGCCACTTAGTCTCCAGAAACTCGTCTTTATTCGACAATCACACTCAAATGTTCCCTGTATCTCCCTGTTGACTACGAAATCACGCAACGGTTCATATATAGACTTGCTCTTTCCCCCAAAGTTATCCATGTCGTACCTTTTGTTTCACAATCCTTTTATGCAGCTGTCTTTGCACATCATAGCTGCACGCTTTTTTAACTTCAATCCTTCTTCTATGGGCTAGTACTTGCAACAAACTTCATTCAACTATTGGATTTTCTTGTTGTTGTTACGATCGTTCTATCGCACTGGGTTTGGGAGAACTTTGACACCCAGACGAATCATATGCGCGAAAGTTTTTTTATTATCGAAGAGACAGCCACAGTGTTGTCTGATATGAACGAGAGAGTTGACGTGATGCTTCTTCACACACGGGATCGACACTTCGTTATGACATTTATGAAACAGTTTTTCTTCTATGAAACGTTATCGACTAACCAAGAGCCCAATTTGTCTCTTCTATTATGTGCCTCTTTCAATATCTCTCCCTAATCTAAAAATCCGGATCGATTCAACCGGTAATAAGGGGAGATATTTAACAAGCTTCTATGAAGCGTAGGGATTTCCTACCCTGTTGATCTCTTCTCATGAATATCTACGTTTCGCAACTTCTTCTCTGATCGTTTGTCCTACAATAGGTGCAAGAAGCTTTAGTCAGAAGTTCATCCTCAACGTTGATAGAACATGTGAAAGCAATTTACCAAGTTTTCATGTTTCTTTTGTTTTGCAATCTTGCTTGATCTTGTAGATATTTCAGTATTAGCAATGTCGGCCGCCTTCAAGGCATTCAGATCGGCAGCTCAAACGCCTTTGAAACATTCAATTATATATAATGAAAAACATGTGGAAGTCAAACGAACTATCAAACAGGTAGTCTGAATCTCTATTTTCTTAATCAAATCGTGCTCAGGTTGTTGATAAACATATAAATCCTAACGTGCAACAATGGGAAGCTGATGGTTGCTTCCCAGCTCATGAAGTTTTCAAAAGGCTAGGAGATGCCGGAGCCCTGGCGGTGAACAAACCAACAGGTTATTTGCAATGTTTTCTGCTTTCAACTTTATTTCAGAATATGGAGGGCTTGGATTAGATTTTTCTTATTCCATAGCCGTAGCTGAAGAGCTCGGAAGAGTAACTTGTGGGGCTATACCGATGGCTGTTAGTGTTCAGGTTTGAATTTTCCGCATTGATTTCTCCAATTCTCATGAAGTATGCCATAACCTAAGTTGTTTCAGAATGACATGGCAACACCAGCGTTAGCGGAATTCGGGTCTGATCACTTACGAAGAGAATTTCTCACACCATCCATAACGGGCGATGCAGTCGCTTGCTTAGCAATAAGTGAGCCAGAAGCTGGTAGCGATGTTGCCGGTTAGTCCTCATGTTGCCTCCACTGCGAATCACGCATTTTTCAGCAATTCGTACTCATGCCAGATGGGATGGTAGTGATCTTATTATAAGTGGCTCAAAACTGTGGATCACTAACGGAACACAGGTACTTTCATTAATTGTGATGTTAACCCATTTGAATCGAAATTTTAGGCTGATTGGGCCTGTGTGTTAGTGAATACGAACCAACATCCATCCTTGCATCGCAACAAGAGTTTACTTTGTATAAGATTAGATGAAGCAGGTTATTACTCTAACCTTGCTGCAATTATAATTCTCCATTCTAGGTATTCATCGCAGTCCTCCCTTGAAAAAACTGGGAATGCAGTCTTCTGATACAGCTCAAATATTTTTCGATGACGTCCGTGTACGTTTGTTATTTTTAAGCAGTTCAATTTACTATCACTTTCTCACAGGTTCCTTCTCGAAATATCATCGGCGATGAAGGAAGAGGCTTCGTATATCAGATGATGCAGTTCCAAGATGAACGATTAGTCACAGCAGCAGTTTGTAAGTTTCATGCTCTTCACTTGTATCACGATTTGATTACTTCAGTACTAGAGCCCTTGAAACGTTGCATAGATTTAACAATAGACTATACCCGCAATCGAAATATATTTAACAGCACTGTACTTAACCAACAGGTAACAAATAATTTTGTAAAACTTGATGAATAGTTTGTAAGATCGTTCATTACTCGCTCGCAGAATTACAAACTGAGTTGGAAGCTTTAAAAGCTCTGCTATACGCCACGGTGGCTGCAAGAATCGCTGGAGAGGATGTTACACTTCCAGCATCAATGGCAAAGCTGAAAGCTGGAAGATTAGCTCGTCAAATTACAGACAGTTGCATGCAAGTGAGTTGATTTTCTATATCCGCGAATTATTCGACAATTTGAGTTCTGGGGTGGACAAGGCTATTTGTGGGACAACCCGATATCTCAATTACATCGAGATCTGAGGTTGCATTCTATTGGTGCTGGATGCGATCAAGTGATGCTCTCAATAATTTGTAAATACATGGATATTCTTCCTAAAAATTATTAAAACTGTTATATTAAATAAATTAACTCCATTCCTTCCGAAGCTCCATCATCTGACATGAGAAGCTGTTACCTCTGCCAGTGCTATTCTAAATTTCAGGCGAAACAACGAACTGAGTCATATATGGTAACTAGTAAAGGATATGCTGTGAAAGGCAGTCAAAACATGTAATTCGATGGTTTCTGTTAACTATCCAGGAGGATTTC